ATTTCATTCAGATCATCTGGCTTACTGTGTGTTGAGCACATCGCCACATTTTTATGTCAACACTTGTCAAACGCCAAAACACCAAACGCCAATTCATCTGCCAAGCGCCAAAGCGTTTTGGAGCACACTAATCTTTCAGGCAGAGGACACAGACGGGAGGTCCCGGAGCGTCTGAATACGGGTCCACAGGCAGAAAGCCCCCACACATTCCGGCTTTAAAGAGAAGCACTAGTACATTTGCACTGACACTACCTATTTTCTTCACTTTTTTTTTTGCACATACCTATTTTTTCACTGACGGTAAACAAAAGAGGACGCCTGGTTGTTCAGCTGTTGTACATTGTTTTATGGGTACCCTTGTTTTATGAGTTTTATTGCCCAGAACTTGCGATGTCTTGCCAGGCAGGCTCAGCACGTAATTCATCTGCAACGCCAAAACGTTGTTGTGATGATGTCTAGACGTATGAGACGGTGCACATTAATCTTTCCGGCAGAGGGCACACACGGGAGGCCCCGGGGCGTCTGAATGAGCAAATAAACGTCGTGCCGCTCAATGTTTATAGATAATGAAGGGTTTCCAACTTCAAACATCTTTTAAAGGAAATATATTAGGCTACGATTACTCCAAAGAGATAGCATATATATGTCCCAACAATAAAATTTGAAGCCAAGACATTTAATAACTTTGATGTACCAAAATGAAGGAAGAAATTCAAAATCTCCTAATTGCTGCTTGACTAATCTTGCCTTCACGGCTTGTTTCGTAATGTTGACACAAGCCAAATCCATCATAGGGGAAGAGAAACAACTTCATCTGTTGCTTGAAACTCTGACCACCAAAGCAAGACTACTGATATAAGCATATCATCACTTCCACCTAAAACAGGCAGTAAGAATATGTTGGATATCAATCGCTACTGAAGACTTTGAATTTGGAAGCCATAGTACATGGACAAATAGGACTGCCACCGTTTTGCTTTGAACAGGTCAAAGTTTTCGCCTGGAAACTAGTGGTGAGGTACAGCGGGACACAGTGACGACGTCTCCATGGAAGATATTGGCACCAAAAGGTGTTGTCACTGTCGAGGCTGGCACAAAGACCAGCATGGCTTTTGCCGGTACACACTAACCTAATGTCTTTTCTCCATAAGAATCGTATATTATTACAACTTGTTATGTATGAAACCTGTAAGGATTACAAAAGGAAGGCGGACAAGAGACTCACCGTCTCAGCTCAGCTGTTGGTGGTATGGGGAACAGTGGCTTCATCCTCAATTGCGACATGCTCTTCTCGGAGATATATTTCTCTCTGGAACATGCTGGATCTTCTGCCAATTTTCGTGTCCCTCTACTTGGCAGGTTCTACTGAGCACACGGCACCCGTGGATTTCAATCTTCACAAGCGACCGTGGCAGCGTCGGAAGGCGCTCCATCTTATCGCATCTCATAATTAGCACACTCTGGAGCGAAACAAGGAGCTCCATATTTTCTGGCAAGCTGTCCCAGTTGCAGAGGGAAACCTGAAGCTCACGCAGACAACTGAACAACTCGATATCTCCAGGAAAATACTCCAATGGGCTGCAATTATGGAGTTTAAGTTGTTGCAGGTGCTTTAGGGCGTCTGGATTATGGTGACTCAACATCCAGCTAGGATATCTCGAACCCTTGTAGCGGTTGATTGTGAGTGCTACAAGATCCTTCGGGGGACAAAGGCCCTCAAGTACCTCTGCAGCGGCATCTGGAGTCTGGCCCCCCATCATCCAGCCATGGTACCTTGTACCCTTGTCACGGTTGGTTGACCGTGAGCTCTTCCCAGGATCCTCTGGTGGTAAAAGGAGGTTAAGCATCTCTGCCACGGCGTTTGGATCCCCGACCTGACGGACACAGAATGACAGTTCCAGTTTTCTTAGTCGTTTCTTGCCGGCTAGGTGGGCTTCAAGAGCTTCCTCTTTGCTTCTGACAATCCCGAGACCATCTATCACCAGCATACCTCGAAGGTTGTTTAGGTGCTTCAGCTGCTTCAATTCGTACCCTTGTTCCTTCTTTACTTGGAAGTATCCTAGTGATTGGAGTGACGTCAGCCTGCCAATGTTTGCAAATCCCATCGACGATGAAGAGCTATGCCGCAACGAAGTGAGATTCTTAGTGATATCTTCAGCACAGGAAACCTTCTCAGCATATATGCTCTGCATATGGTAAAGCTTGCCAAATGTGCTTGGGAAAATAAGCCCCACACTGCGATGGGAACAGTCCATATGAAAGTTAAGATAACGTAGATGCTTCATCTGATCAATAGATGATGGAACTGACAACACTTTTTCATGGTAGTATTTTGTTTTAAATATCAGCACCCGCAGTTTCCTCAGGCTCTTGAACATTCTGTCAAAGAGTTTTTCGTTAATTAAGGTGTGGTCCAATTCCTCAGCATCTTGAGCTGCAAATAATTTCCTCTTATTTTCGCTGTACTCTTCATCAATGATGAGAGTGCGTGGATTTACCAAGTCCAGAATTTTCTTTGTAATCACTGCTCTATTGTCAGTCCCAATACCAACAAAAAGATGGCGAACCTCTTGCGGAATATCTTTTGGTAGGGCATTTGAAACAATTCTGAAGCATTCAGTTCCGCAAACCCTCTCAGCCAACTCGTGTAGCAGGTCATGAATTGTGAATGCCTCAGTTTCAGTACCAAAAATTGTTCTTTCTACTTGCAGAAATGAGAATGTCAGTAGTTCGTTTAAGTAGCGGAGGCCTATGTCTTCCAATTGCTCTGTTGCATTCATCCTGGTGTTTACAAATCCTTGTGCTATCCAGATGCGAACCAACTCATCTCGTAGTAACCTGTATCCTTTCGGGAAAGTGCTGCAGTATGCAAAGCATCGCCTGATGTCTACACCTAGCTGCTGATAGCTCCACCACAGAGCTCCCATTGTTTCATTCAACATGTCAAGGTTCCCTGTTGTTTCCCAGAAATCGATACTGTTGTTACTCTGAAGCCGTGCTGCTACTGTTATTGCTGCAATGGGTGATCTGCCAGGCTTTTTCGCAATTTTTCTCCCTATTGCTATAAATCTTCCATTATCAGAACGCGTGCCTTCTAGGGCATAGTGCATGAACATTGAGAAGTACTGCTCTTCTTCCATATCCGGTATTGGGATTTGCTCCTGTGCACCTAGAGCTGCAGCTGCATCTTTCTTCTGAGCTGTCACCAGAATTCGGCTTCCATTCTGCCCAGCAACCAGCACACCAAGTAGAATAGCACGTTCCTCTTTGTTCTCATCACTGACCCAGAGATCATCCAGTACCAACAAGAAACGTTTTCCTTTCAACTTTTCCTTCAGCTAATCATGTAGACCTTTCACATCATTGCTGTCAGATTGCCGGTCTTTCCTGATCTCCCTCAACATGTCACGAAATATCTTATCCACTCTAAATGTCTCAGACACATGAATGAACATGACAGGGTCAAAATGTTGGCCTTCGGCCTTCTCATAATCACAAACATATTGTGCCAGGGTACTCTTCCCAGACCCGGCAATGCCATATATACCAATCACAGAATAATGTTTACTGGTACTGGAGCTTAGTGTATCCGGACCAGGTCCCCTACGAAGCATACTAATAATCTTCTCACGCTCCTTATCTCGACCAAATACCTTTCGTTCAATGCTTCTGTACAGGTACTCAATACCCTCCTGCCTGCTACTCCTTTCTTTGTTACTATCCCTATTGGGAATTTGGCTGCTGCTGCTTTGCTGATTCAACAGATGTGATTTCTTCAAGTCATTGAGAACATTTTCTAAGTGCTCTATCCTTTTCGTCAAGCTATTTCTAGCAATGGTTAGCAAGAAAGAACCTGTTGCTGTGCCATCCTTCTGCAAGAAGCAAACTAGCGTCAAAAGATTATCCTAGCTCCATGTTAAGGTATATGGCATTCTTCAATTTGTGCAGTCAGACTTTTTAAAGATGACCAGTAACGTATAAAATGTAAGTACCCATATTGATTGTAGGAAAATCTGAAAGATTTATTCAATGGGGCTGAATTCCCTATCTATAATACTCCCCATGTTAATCGGAGGAAATATATAGAAATATTCAAATTAATAAAAAAAAGAACATCCCAGTCACCATGGTTTAAGATTCCTTAAAGACGGATTAACATTACTTTGACAGAGGCATATGATCATGTCGCATCTGCCTTGGTTATATACTTAGATGGCAACCAAAATAAGCAGCACAGGGCAGCATGGGAAAAATTAGGTTATCTGTTTTCCAGAAACTTGATGTCTAGTTATGGAGATGGGAATGATAAGGCTCACTGTGTTGGAAACAAGACTTCAGCTACAACCTTCCTTCATTGTAGATGTGTTGCAGCCATGGGTTTCACTTATACTCGCACCGTTGCTACTTGTAAATTTATTTCTAGCCATTTGTTTGGCTTGTACTCACACCATTTCTACATTTTATTTTAATTTAATTAATGACATGCAATTCCCAAGAAAAGAATCAAACTATCTCAAAAGACAAGCACACCACTCAACATAATGATTTCCAAACTACCCAACCTTTCCTTGCACAAGTAAAGCAAAAATGGTGATTTCTAATTAACAAAAAACAATTAATTTTATTTGTGGAATGAGAGAAGAAACATGATGAAAATCAACATTAATTAACTGGTGCCAGAATTGTAGCAGCTAGAATTGGTCACAATGATAAGATGGTACCTGATTACTTTTGATGCCAATAACTTTATATGACCAATCCTGGTTAGCTGCAATCACATCGGCTGGCAAACCATAGAGCGTCTGAATCCCAGATTGACATAACTTGGCGAATTTGAATACGAGATGCCTGAACTGGCCACAGAGTCTCGGCACCCCATATCTACAGCAGTTGGTGGTTTTGAGTACGAGGTGCCAGAACCAGTCACAGAGCCACTGCATCCCAGATCGACGTCTGTTGGCGATATGGAGCACGAGATGCCTATACCCGCCACAGAGCCTCTACACCACAGAAATGGAGGATGCACGGGAAATTGGAAGTTGCCCACCTGATCTTCCGAACAAGCTCCCCTTGCAGCAGGTGATGCAAAAGTCAACGCCGTCGTGCAGGTGCTGCACCCAGCTGCTGCCCTTGCAGTGGACCATGCAAGCGCCAAAAGCGCAGAGGATTTGCTGCACCCAGCTTCTGCCATTCTCTTTGGCATCATCAACGATTTTCTTCTCGATCCGATAGTAATCTATCAGATCCAGGATTTCCTCCGCTTCATACAAGGCAGATTTGAGTTCTGTCGCCAGTCCATCGAGAGTCCTCAAATCAGACTGAGACCTCGCATCTTTAGCTGCTCTAAGCATCCTCTGCTCCTCTACTTCTATCAGAGTCTCCTTCAGACTTGGGATAGTGAGGTTCTCCAGGTTACTGAGTTTTCTTGATGTGTCGTTAAGGAGGATGGAAAAGAATTTGTTCACGAGAAAGGTGATGATGGGTACCAGCAGCCAACTCATTATTGGGATGCCCAGGGCTATGCCTGCAATAACTTCCGATGTTTTTGCCATGGGATGCTTTTCTTACAAGGAGATGTGGGTTGTGGGAAGAGGGAAGAGGGAAGAGGGAAGAAGGATGGATCTAGTCTTTGCACTTGCACTATAATAAAGGTAATTCTGATCGGCTTGGTACCAAGGTTTTTTTTTATCGGCCGAAATTCACGGAAATTTCCAAAATTTCCTTTCTATCCACAGGATCCGATAAAATTTGACATCGGCTAAATTTTTCTCTTCTTTCCTGCTTCCACACAGACAACCCAAATTCAGCCGTGCGACAATCCCACAATATAATGTTTTATTCTTGTTTTTATCTGTGAACAAGTGATGTTTAATAGCTTAGGAATGGTTTCAAGTCAAATTCTACGGAATTTTTTCAAAACAATTTGATTTTTTTTTGAATTTGGTCCGATATTTCCGATATATCTTGCTTATCCTATTTATCCATGACCTCCGATAAATTTTTATTTCCGATAATGAAAACCTTGCTTGGTACCACATTAATTAAGAGGGGAAGATGGTGCCAGTGACTCCACAAGTCTTCTTAGAGATATTCTTTATATGTGTATTACCACCAACAGCGACATTTCAGATTAGAAAAAAAAATGAGTGGGTAGAATGCAACCGCAAGGTAGTCTGAGTTTCTGGTCCCAACAACCCAGGCACCATCAATTGATTTGTGAAAACAAAAGTTTGAAGAAGACAAGCAAACTAAAAAGGATGGTTTAATGAAATTTAGAGAAATAAAAGCATCCATCCAGAAAAATACAACCTTGTCGCGAACCTTGTTTGGAGTTTGTTCAAGAGCGAGCTAATTAATAATGGATGACAGGAACCAACCGATTGAATACACCACATGACCAAATTTCTCATAAAAATTGAAGGAATTGTGTAAATTAAATACGTGATGAATTTGAGGACAGAGATGAGGACAGAGATGCGGCCCTGCATTTTGTGACGGCTGACCTGATTGGAAGCACGCCGCTGCCGTCGGAGTTGACGGACGAGATCAAGGGTGGGACATGGCGGCGGCCCTCTGCCTCTGGGCTTCCACCCTTGCACACCGTCGGGTATGTGCTTACGTGACGAAGAATATGCTAGTTTTTAGGCAAACTAGCAAAGAAACCGTCGAAACTCTCGCCCGAGAGGGACCCCGTCAGGGCAAGGATGTCGGCGGCTTGCCCTAGGTCGGCCGGCAAGCCTAGGGCGCCATACATGGTCGTCGAATCAAGAGATGAACAGCATTGAGGTTGGAAAAGAGAGTAAAAGGGTTGGAGTAGAGGTAGTAGATTGATTTTTACTCGATTGGATAGATGTGATCTCAATCGGCCATGATCCTCTCATATATATAGAATGGTGTGCTCTTATCCCAATAGGAAACCTCTCCAAGCCTTATTTTTCAAGTTTCCCACGAGTTTGGAACAGTTCGGATAGGAATCCAAAAGACCAGATACGAACAGGGTTTTTTATTAGGTCTGACGGAAGTTCTGACCTCTGTCGAAACTTCCGACCTATGTCGGAACTTCCGACGTGGGGATAACCCTAGGCACCTGAGGAGATCTTTTCAGGCTTCCTAGAAGTTCTGACGCCTGTCAACTTCCGACTTAGGTCGGAACTTCCGGCAGTGGAGCATCTTCCTGAGGGCATAACATCTTCATCCAGACTCCGAATTGGATGTTCCATATATGTTTTTCAACCATCTCAACGAAAGGAACGTAATGGAGAGGTCCGTTTGACATTTTGACAACTTTACAAAATGAACAATTTTGGTTGTCAATAGTGGGTTTTAGGAAGAGGGAAGAAGGATGGATCCAATCTTTGTACTTCTAGGAGAGACGTTTACACGAGAATAAAGGTAACTGTGATCGGCTTGGTACCACATGAATTAAGAGGGGAAGATAGCGCCATTGACTTCGCAAGTCTTCTTAGAGATACTCTTTATATGTTTATTGCCATCGACTGCGCGACATTTTCAGATTAGAAAAACAAGAGTGGCTAGAATGCAACCGCAAAGTAGTCCGAGTTTCTGATCCAAGCAACCCAGGCCCATCAAATTGATTTGTGAAAACGAAAGTTTGCAGAAGACAAGCAAACAAAAAGGATGGTGTAAAGAAATTTCGGAGCAATAAAAGTATCAAGCCAGAAAAAATTGTCGCGAACCTTGTTTGGAGTATGTTCAAGTGGGAGCTGATCGAGTACACATAGGCACCAAGCCATTACTCCAATTTTCCGAAGCCAGTGGTTAGAGTGTAACCATTGGCACTAGCAAACTGAAAGATGTAAGTTTGCACACATCTGCTAACCAATACGGTATAATATAACGTAACCATTGACTCTACAAACTCTTTGTGTTTGGGCAATGTGCATGGTATTGCCATCACTTTTGATTCTGCGAGTGTGTGTGACCACAAACTAGCTAGTTCCAATTTCCTGTGCACTGATACTCTACATGTGACCAAAATTCTCAATAAAAAAATGAAGAAATACTACTGTAAATACAAGCAAAAACACAGGACGAAATACGTGATAAATTTGAGAAAACAGATGCGGTCATCGCTTTTGTGACGGCTGACCTGCTTTGGAAACAGGCCGCCGCTGCCGTTGGAGTTGACGGACGAGACCACGGCGGGACCCGGCGGCGGCCCTCTGGGGGCTTCCGCCCTTTGCACACCGTCGGGCACGTCATGCTCAGTCATGGATATGGTTGGGTTGGGCCTGACATGAAACTTGTCCTCAGGTCGAATCCACAAGCGAAACAGCAAGTCAGGAATGTCTAACTTGCAGCAACGAACTGAACAAGCAACACAGTTTTAAACCACTGGAACCAGCACAGTACCCGCTCCACCACACCCTTGACTTCGAGGACGAGTGCTACCAGGCATGTGAAGCGAAATAGCATCGTTTAAATAAATTCTAGAAAAAAGGGACACTTGATTGTTTCCTTCCGTTTATTCATACAATACACAGCAGCATCTTACTCTTGAGTTTTTCGTTGTAACAAACACTCTTTTGTTCCTTAATGCAATCCAGGCGGGGAAGCTCTCCCCTCCGCAGTTTCTTAAAAAAAAATACACAGCGTCCAGTGCTATGTATGTATCATATATATGCTCTCTGCACAGAAAAAATGTAGTAAAAACGAGGGTAGCAGCACGTCTGCATGAAGACGCCGCCCTCAAACCGTCGAACGGGGCTGAACTAACACAGAAGCTACAAGCCATCTTTTTGACACTCCAAACTTATGCAAAGAAGCATATATGCTGCTGACAAACCACAGTCCCGCTTCGCTTCGTCATAGTTTGGGGCCTGCAGATAGAAAATGGGACAACACGGCTCCATGAGTGCCTCAAGTCTTTGGAACTGCTTCTCCTGTTCTCCAGTGACGCCGTATCACCCCATCTCAACACCAAGGAATACCATATTTCCATGATTTTGGTTTCCATAGTTTAGGCCCTGCAAATGGAAAATGCACGTTATTAACTACTGCTTCCAAGAATAAAAATCAATAACCGTATGAACCAACAACATGCATGGGGTTACATCAGAGACAAAGGACTGTAAAAACCAGACTGCCGACCACTGCCACAAGCACTCACTGGTAGAGAACAGACCTTTGATCCAAGGGTCAAACCAGGCTCTAGTCTCGGAAAATATTGCGCCCGGGACTACAGAGACCTTTAGTCCTGATTGGAGCCACCAATCGGGACTAAAGGTCGACCTTTACTCCCAGTTGGTGGCTCCAACCGGGAGTAAAGCTCTTGTCCCGGCTAGTGGCGTGGCCTGGGACTGGAAAGTGACCTTTAGTCCTGGTTAGATCCACCAACCAGGACTAAAGGTCCCCCCTATAAATCCTGCTGGCCGTCTTCTTCCTCCCCGAGCCCGCCTGAGAGCTTCAGTTCAAATTTAAGCAGTGTTCTTACTCTTTCTCCATCCATTCTTCGATTCCTCCGTCGATTTCTTCGATTCCTCCATCGATTCTTCGGTTCTAAAGGTTACCAACTTCATACTCTCATGTTTCACCATTGTCTTATCTCATTTTGTTCACTATATATATATATGGTTCTTTATTGTGGGTTTTTTCATTTGTAAGCAATTTGAACTCAAAATCACTTCAAGCTTGCATATTTACATGAAGGAAGGTTAAAGTAGCTATTAAAAACTAGTATTCACCGTTCATTTGTAGCATGCATAGCACACTTCATTGTTTAGAGATATAGAGAATTTTAGAGTTTTTTTAATTTTATTTGTTTATAAAATAAGAAATTTATAGTGTATTAAAAATGAGTATAGAGAGTAGATGGCAACTGCTTTCGGGTCCTCGGCCTCTCATGGGTTTCCAAAGCGACTTAGGCCGGGCCTCGCACTCATTGCATGCGGCAAGTGTTGTGATGAGACGAAGATTGTGATGGAGTACCGAGTGAAGAAGGAGTGTCCGGATCGCAATGTGAGTTATTTTATCGTATTTAATGACTATGGTTGGTTTATACATATTTTCATGATGGTTTTGATTAAAGTTCTAATTTTCTGTTTTAATTTCAGTGGGATGGCACTGGATGTTCAGGCTTCTACTGGGAGGAAGAGTATGTTTTACTCGTGCAAAAATATCTTGCACAACAGGCAGATATGGCGGCTAATGAGGCAGTGATCCAGCCGAAGAAGCCCAAAGATGTTGAACAAACGGGGGATCTGTCTGTTTTAGTTGGGATTGGTCGCGAAATCCTTGTGCTGCTGAAGTGCATTTTAGCTTTAGTGTTTTTAGTGGTAGTTGGGATTGTCTACATTGTAGCGAGGCTTTCTTAAATTTATAGCTTTTGTGGTGGTATGCATGTTGTATAATTAACTAATTATGTTCTAGGTTTTAATACGGTATTTATGTCATGTAATGCAGATGAGTCAGCATTGGATGTACAATGCTGATCGTCGCTCCCAAGAGTTCATGGACGGCGTGCATTCTTTGTTACGTGCGGCCTAGGCAAACAAACGCGATAGTTTCATGTGCTGCCCATGTGCCGTATGTA